TAGATGGAAAAACTGTGTCATATTTGATATGGTCTGAATGTTTGTGTCCCCTTCCAATCCATGTGATGAGATGTAGTGGCCTACGTGTTAGTACTCAGGCCTCTGAGGCCTTTGGAAGGTGAATAGGTTATAGGGACTCCAGCTTCATGCTACAATCAGTACCTTGAGTAAAGAGGCCGAAGGAGTTTGCTCATACCTTCTGCTATACGGAGCAACAATGAGGTACCATCTCTGAGGAGTGGCTCTTCACTAGACACCAGATCTACTGGTGTCTTGATCTGGAACTTTCTCACAGAACTAGATGCAATACATTCCTGATGTTTGAAAATTACCCACAATAAAGTATTTTGTTATAGCAGTTCAAACAAAGACAATCTCCACAGAACAGAATACTATACAGGAATGAGAAAGAATAAACAACTGCTCTGTGCAACAAATAAATATATCTCACAGAAAACGGAGTGAAAGAAGCCAGACACAAAAGTCTGCACCATCTGATTCCATTGATACAGGTCTCACAACAGGCAAACCTACTCTGTGGTGGCGGAGTTCAGAACGGTGATTTCCTTTCAGAGGATAGTAACTGGGAAGGGGTAAGAAGGCAGAGGTAGGGTAGTGGCAATGTGCTATTTCTCAAGAAGCATAGTGGCTACACGGCTATATTTATTTTGTATATCTTTGTGTCCTGTATACACTTGCAAAATGTGTATTTTTCTGTGAGGGGGTTACACAGCAGTAAAATGTTGAGTAAGACAAAGAATAAATCAAATTAAACTTTAATGCAAGAATCATGTTTTTATTCTCAGGCATGATATCTAGCCTGGGCTGGGGAGACTGGAGCATGGGCATTCTAGTTCAGAATACTGCGGTAATTAATCACATCTATGGAAAGTGGTAATCATTAACATGAACAAGAAAGAAGGTGACTGGTAAAATTTCTGTATAGACACCATGCAATGTACTATACCGGCTCAATACATTTCCTGTCAGCAATCCGGGACAGCTCAAGATTTACATATGCAGTTACAGGAGGGACAAATAAATATGACCTCGGGGTTCAGGTTGACCAAGATGCCATTCATGGAAAAGACAGCCACAGAGCCTTTCTCACAAAAAACAAGAATTGTTAGTATTGGTTATGCCATTTGTGAGGAAGACAGGCACAGAGCCCTTCTCACAAAAAACAAGAATTGTTGGTACTGGTTATGAAAGTACCATTCTAAAGTGGAAGGTTTACGTCTTGTTGAAGTTGTTTTAAAAAGTGGCCAAAAATATAAGCGATGAAAGGGTAATGAACATCATCAGCTACTGGGGCATCTGCTGTAGTGTCCTGTAATGGGCAGTGAATAAACCAAGAAATGGCCCGTGACAGTGTATGTATGGCCCTACTGACCATGAACAAAGTTATCATCTGCCTACCTGATTCTAACTGGCACAGGACACTCTGGACCTTGCCCACCTTTACTTCTCCTCTGGTGAAGTTCAGGTGGGATGCTGTATTAGTCAACTTTGCATTACTATAGCAAAATACCTGAGATAAGTAAATTATGCAGAAGGAAGGTTCATTTTGGCTTACAGTTTTGAGAGTTTCTGACACTGACCACTTGGCCCCATTGCTTTGGGCCTGTGATAAGGCAGCACAGCATGGCAGATGCACACGGCACAGCAAGCCACTTACACCATGAGCCAGCTAGCAGAGAGAGCCAGAAAGGGGCCAGAGTCCTACAAGGTCCCTCAAAGGCACGCCCCCCAGTGCCTCCCACAAGCCTCACCTCCTAAAGGTTCTGCCATCCACCAATAGCACCATAGCAGGAAGTAAGCTTTAAATGCATGGGTCACGCAGGGGCGTTCCATTAAAGGCCTCTAGGCCTACCCCAGGCTGGGCCAACTGATCCATTTCAGCTCTTTAGCCGCAGTGAATGGCTAGTGGCTGAACACACGGCTCAGGCCAGGTGAGGGTTCTCCATGAAATTTCACTCCACCAGCGAGGAGGAAGTTCTAGAGTACAGCCTGGGCTGCCTGAGGCCATTTTCCAGTGATGCACGGAAGAGACCTGTCTGAGGTAGGAAGGTGTGAGGCCAGCAAAGACAGAAACAAAGCCAAGCAGAAATAATTCAGGAAGGAGCTGATGCCTAACGTGCAGGGGTGCTCCTTCTTGTAGCCTGTCCTTCCTTTCTACATGCTAGACACCAAAATGCGCGGCTCCACAGGTCGGGGCTGCCCGGGGGCGTGAGGGCAGGGCCCCCCCCCCCCAGGGGCGGAAGGTGAGAGGCGGCGATCTGAGAGCGGGGCGCGGGAGCGGTTGCTCTGCCTGGGCTACTGCACCTCGCACCCAGGGCGCAGGTATGGCCCTAGTGACCATGAACAATGCTATCATCTGCCCACCTGATTCTACCTGGCACAGAACATGCCTCTCTTCTTAAGCTACTTTGAATTGAAGCTACTTTGAATTTGGTGATGAAAGGCTTGACAAATACACCAATAAAGATGGAACCAGGAGTACAGTAAAGTATGTCTGAGGGATGTGTAAAGGAGGGATGTGTAAACTCTGAATGCGGCTGATGCTGGCCACCTGGAGTTGCTGCGTGTCCACACTCAGCTGGCCTTGGCTGTGCCGTGTGACGGTATCTAGGCCCCGGGTGTATGTTCTCCGTTCCTTCTTTCACTCTGCTCAGGTTTCACCAAAAAAAAAAAAATCTGCCATCCACCTCAGTACCTTTCTCTCTTTCCCAACCCTCAGTTCTTCTTTACTTCCCAAACATGAATGTCCCAAACCCATGGAATTTTCCCCCAAAATATGAAATTTCTCAAACATATAAACATCTCACAAGCATATGCAGAAGGAAGTAAATTCTGCTCCTAAAAGTTCTGAGAGGCCAGCATACATCCTAGTGTCACTGGCTAGAACAGTGTCCATGTAGCCATACAGATTTGCTTCTAAGCATTAGGAAAGCAGCTTAAACTTGTTCTGCTGAAATTACTGTGTGTTTACCAAATATGCTTTATTCTAAAATTGCTTTGATTCATAAAACAGAAATTGAGAGAAGGGTGTACATCCTGCATTACTGCATTTGTTGCTTGGCCTTATTGTTGATCTGTGTGTGTGTGTGTGAGACACCACCAGACCATACACGCCTGTGAGCACAAATGCCAAGTCTTGCTGAATCTTTGCACTCAGGCTTTAGCACAACTGTTCAGACGAACTGGTGTCTGTGTTTCCCTACCACAGGCAAGCAGTTCTTGACGTTCCATAGCACTTGGCTGGGGGCTGGGGATATAGCTCAGTGGCATAAGCGCCTGCCTGGCAAGTGCAACGTTCTGAGTTCGATTTCCGGTACCGGGGGGTGGGGGAGGAGAAAAAAACCACAGCACTTGGCTTCTCCAAGTGTGATCTCTAGGTAAGCGGTGTTGCACCCCTGAGACAGAAGACTGCAAATGCAGAATCAGGATTTCACCTCACAATGATTGATTTCTAACCCTGGTAGTCTGTATGCACAAGCAAGCTTGAGAGGTACTGCCTCAGACAACAGAAGTTGCAGAAAGAGTATTCAAGACATGGCACACCACAAAAGTCTGTGTAATCCAAAGCAGAATCTGTCAAGGCAGAAAGGCAGCTATTCTGGAGGCGGAGGGCGGTCTTAAGCATGCTGCGAGGGATGTTCCAGGTCACACAGGGGCCGCACGCCAGCAGCAGTGTGCGGCATGGAAGAAACAGAGACAGGTGGGTACCAGGTGAGAGGTGAGGAGGGCTGCAGCCAGAGCGACGGGCTGACCAGCAAGGGGACCTGGATAACCTTTCGGAGACAGGAGCTCATGGGTGGGGGAAGGAAGAGAATTCAGGGGATTACGGCTAGGATCCTGCAGCCGTGAGGTAAAATGACAGTACCTGGGGTCAGATGAGTGAGAGGGGCATGCACCTGGCCTTGCGCCATCTCCTACTGCTCAGAATTTCACGCCTTTTCCTTCTCCCATCTTTAGACTGGGCGATCGCACGACCAAGTTGCAATTTCAAAGCTATGAGGTGCTGTGACTCTGTACCCAGAAAAGATGTGGACTCGTAAAAGCAGACAGCTATCAGCATCTTAATCTTAGAATCAATTGATTCAGTAGAGTGAACAAATAAATTAACAGGGCCACTTCAGTACCTAAATGAATTGGGCTTTAGCCAGCGTCTGCAGGAAGCTTCTGTAAGAACTCAGTAAATGACTTCCATTTGAACACACAGCCCCTGGAGCACTTAATAAGTGCAATTTGGCCGTAATAATGATGATCCACACATCGCGGCGTCACCTATCCAGTTAAGCAAATGTTTCCAAGGAGTGGTGATAACGAGCCAGGACCAGGATGCGTCCCCGGAAGGGGCTCTTCTGCAGTGTGGCAGCTGCAATTCTAAACTGCTGGGTGAGCGGTCTGCTCTTTTCAGGATCTGCATCCCTTCTGCCGGTCCCGCACACAGTGTTACGCGGAAAACAGCAGCCTGGGGTACGGCAGGGCCCTGGAAAGTAGGACTCCCCGGGGAAACCACCGGATCGAAGCAGGTCACCGAGGGCCCGCCAGAAGCTCCCCCTGGCCCGCCAGGGTGCCAGGCGCGCTGCC